AGCCAGCTTAGAGTGTTTTATCCCTGACATTATTTATAGGACTGTTTGTTTGTTTGTTTGTTTTTTGAGGGTTGGGTTAAACTCTTTCAATTCATTTGTCCAGTCAAACCGTTTAATAACTAGAAGACTTCAATAATAAATGCAATTACTTCGGTAATGCTGGGTTGTGATTTCCATCACTAAATAAAACAAACAAATAAATAAAATAGCAGATCCCTTGGCTATGCTTCAAGGAGTCCTGAGGGTCTCTTTAAGAACCAGAGGTGTAAAAAATTAACATTCAACCTTCAACAATATAATATAATAAATTATACTGTACAGCAAATAGTAAGGACAAACCAAAATGGAGGGTGAGATATGAAGTGAGAAAATATACTAGTGAGGAAAGGATTCATGAGACCAGGCAGAATGAGTGTCCATGATTACTGAGTGTGGCCAAACTGTTTAACTTCATCACACACACTTATTACATTTTAATACCAACAAACGAAAACTGTTGCCTATAAACATTTAGTTCACCAAAAGAGTCAGTGGTGTAGTAAACTGCGTCACTGTACCTTATGGAAAGGCCCCAGGATCTGCTCCCCGGCGTAGGATTTGAAGTTCCGATTGACGATGTGCGTGATCATGAGGCGGGGAGCGCCCGGTTCGTTGGTCATCGCGGGGGGTGGGGGTGGAGGGATGCTACCGAGAATCTCCTCCAGGCTCCGGTTATCCACCGCCTCACCAGCGGCATCTGCACCGGGGAGGAGGGGGACAAGGGGCAACTTTTATCCGCACCATTCAAAACCATTCAATTTCGTGTGTAGAAGCGCGAGTTGGGGGAGGGGAGCGCAAACAAAACAAAAACAAACAAAACAGGCAAAGTGGAGGAAAAAGGAGTTGGGGAGTTAAATACTGCACTTACACGTAAAGTGTTAATCAGTGCTTTAACACGTTTAAAAAAATAATTAATAAAATCGGAATTTAAAAAAAAAAAAAAAAAAAAAAAAAAAAAAAAAAAAAAAAAAAAAAAAAAAAAAAAAAAAAAAAAAAAAAAAAAAAAAAAAAAAAAAAAAAAAAAAAAAAAAAAAAAAAAAAAAAAAAAAAAAAAAAAAAGTACAGCGACTTCTGATTATTAGTATAAACATGCACTTTAGCACCGGGGCTTCACAAAAGTTGTCCTAACTAGTGTCAGCACTGTTTCTGAAATAAAAATATTACTAAAGTTAGTTTATTATATTGCTTGAGGCTGGTCGCTCATCCCTGTGAACTTCTCTCAGACAAAAAGGCATAGTCGAGCAGTTTGAAACGCACTAATCTTTGTCTTGTTCAACTAATGAGACGCAGCTTATTTTCTCACTTAAATGGACCAGCGACTGTGCAACAATAATGACACACCACTCAAATCAAAGTCAGAGCCCCAAACTATTTCCACACGATCAACATGTCGCAAAGTTCAGCCTGTGGCAAAACAAGTCCTTAGAATAAATAACCCTTTGTTTCTTACCATTAGTCTGCGGTGCGTCCTGATCATCTGCGTGCACTTCTCCATGAGGCTTTATTTCCTTCATCTCATCATCAGAGTCATCCTGCGACACTTTCCCCCGGGGCTTCGCAACCGAGGAGCTTTTAGTCGTTTTCGAGGGCATGCTAGAGATCTGAAGAAAAAATATCACTGACAATCAAGAGGAATAGATCCGAAAAGTCGATGCTCGATGTAGCCGGTGCTCATCCATCCTTTATCGGAATTATTTTTTTTTTAAAAATGGGGGGAAAAAAAAAGAAAAGAAAAAGGTGCACTCCGACAACAAAAGCATCCTTAGACATGGGACGTATTTTACGATGCATCGACTCGATTATTTTCTTGCACTCCATAACGCACAGCAAACTTGGTTCTTTGTTTGTTGTCAGTGCACAACCTACGTTCATGTAAAAAAAAAAAAAAAAAAAAAAAAAAAAAAAAAAAAAAAAAAAAAAAAAAAAAAAAAAAAAAAAAAGAAGAAGAGGGAAAAAAAAAAAGAAACCGCAAGCTCTCGTTCACGAATAGGTTTTAAAAGTTGAGATATTAACCATGAAAAATAAGTAAAATAAGAATGATAATAAAAATAAATAAATAAATAAAAAACCACGCGCGCCCTACAACTTCCTTATAATTTGGTCTGACAAAAGTAATCAAAGCAGGCACGAGCCAAGTCTAATTCAAAAGTAGCGAATTCTCCACCCCACCCCGCAAAATATGGTTTTGTGTTGCATGATGGCCAACTACTACACACACACACACACACACACACTTGAGTGCTCAGACAAAGCGCGAGCTGCCACAACGACGAAAACACACATGGTGACGTTTCTCTGTCAACTCCAGGCAGGACGCACCAATGGACGCTGCCAAACACGCTATTTACATTAGCTAGCTACACTTGCTGCCTCACACCGTCTATAAATTCGTTAAGAAGACATTCTGTAGTCTCAGTAAGACTCAGTAAAATGATATACATTATATATTATTATATATATTATGATACTACTAGCTGTACGGGTAGTTGACACAACCTGTGTGCTCCAGCTCCCCCGTGAATGCTAGTCAGAAAACAGGGAGACCTGGAGGTGTTGTGTGTGCTAGCTACAAAACAACTTTATGGCGACATTTTAAAAGTGTAACGGTCGCTGCTTCGCCGCTAACAGCTCAAAAGCAGAAGTATTTTCTAACTTGGCTAGCTTTCTGATAGTTATGTAGTTATAGTATTCTAGTCTACCTGCCTACATACCTAGCTAAGGTTTGAGTGTTTTTTCACCCCCCGAAAAATATTTATAAACAGCAACACTGACACAAAGAAAAAAAATTTGTGGACCAAGTAAAGTAGATAACATACTAACCAAACAGAAGTTTGTTAAATAAAAAACAAAACAAATGTCGACAAATATTGCTGCCTAGTTATGGTGAGCGTTTAGAAGAGGTAAAAGTCTTGACTAACAGCTTAACTAGCCAAGCTAGCTGACTTTACTAAAAAATCTACTGCTATTTACAGCGATACTATCCTTCATATAGAACATTACTGTCAGGTGTACACACCTACTATACCACAAATTATACCACAAATTTCATACAGAAGCGTATTCCATATCAAGCGAAATATCTAACACTACTTTAACACATCTCCTCTGTTTGTGTGTGTGTGTGTGTTGCTCTGGATGACGTTTATGTATCACCCCAGCTAACGTTAAATGAAAAAAAAAAAACACTCACCTTTAATTTTCCGTCGAATAGTTTGAGCTTCTATAGTGAGAATTCCCTATGATAATCCACAAAAATGAAAGCTGTGCAGCTTAATTTAAAAAATAAAAAAAAAACGCGAAAATCCTGCCGTGTTAGTTTCCCCGACTCTGCTCAGAGGAAAAAACCCAACTTGAAAATGGCGCCTAAATTCGTTACAATCTGCCGCAAAGCATCATGGGAACCTCGCACTGTCCCGAGAGCACAAATTCAAAAAAAGGGAGACTGCTTGTGTGCGCGCGCGTGCGCCAAGTTACACTTGGTTCAGTGAAGATGCCTAACTTTGGGGTGTTTGTTGTTGATTTTTTTTTTCTTTTCGACATGATAAATCATTATTGGGTGTTTTGAATAGATTTAAACAAACTGACGTGTAGAAACGGTTGCTTGTTCTGAAATAGAATGTCGTGTATCATTAGACAGTATGTGTATAAATAATAAATAATAAAATAAAACTATAGATACCTTGTTCTTTTGCTTATTTTAAAAACAATGTGCGTATTTGTTGCCAGGGCAGTTTACACTGTTATCGCGAGAAAAACATCAACTCGTGAGTGGATATTTAAATCTCGCGAGACAAACGTCCAACTGGCGGAGTGGAATGTTAAATCTCGCGCGACAAACGCCAAACCGAGAAGTGGACTGCCTGATCTCGCGAGACAAACTAATGGCGAAGTAAAGGGCCGTGTGAAGCTTGATAGCTTAGCAGTCAGAAAACACAAGTAAGTGTTTATATTCTGTCACTTCACTCTGTGCTTTACGTTTGAGCTTAGCGCATGTAGACCTCTTTACTGTCTGTTTTCTATTTCTGCACATTTATGTATCGGGGAAGTTCTTAGTTTTTCTCATATTTAGCTAGTTTGCTAGGAGGATGGGTAACACCTAAGGAGAGATCCAGCCAACGCGTTACCGTAGCAACGGGATCTGGCAAGCTACAGTAGGAAAAAGAAATCATGCTAACCGCCTTTTTTCTTTCTTTCTCTTTTTTAAATTACATTTTTGCAGATTTGCACTTATACATGTCACGAAAATACACGATAAGACTAACAAATAAGGTTTATTCGTGTATAGCTGTGGCTATACATGCTGTAAATCAGTTACCATCTCTTCCCTTGGCTAGTCATTCACAGACATAAGTAAGATCGAGTCAAGGCTTATTTATCATTTTTCAAGATCAAGTAAATTGCTAACAAGGCATGGAATATACAAGACACACTCATGCAGGAACACAATACGAAAATAGAATAAAAACAAATGCAGTAAAATTGCAAGACACCAAATATTATGTAATTAAGTGCAAACAAGGCCAAGGGGAGCTGCGTATAATTTGTGTAATATTTCACTTTGTAGAAAGTTGTGTTGTTAGTTCATCTGCCTGCATATCTTGTCCACAGGAGCTGGATTTGTCTCGAAAAGAAAGTACAGAATGAGATTCAAGACATCTCTGCTGAAGGAGCCAAAGCATATCCTTTCATTATTTTTATTTAGCTGTATACCTAAACCCAGCCAGCATTGCCTTTACTATCTACTATAGAATCAGTGCAATGCCATATACAAGTGTAAATAATAAATTATATACTTGAATTAAGCCGAATAAGTTTATCCTCTGTGTGTTATCTTTCAGTATGGTTGAATTACATTTACATTTATGTAATTTGGCAGACGCCCTTATCCAGAACGACTTAGAATTATCTCATTTATGCAGTTGAGGGTTAAGGATCTTGCTCAAGGGCCCAGTAGTGGCAGCTTGGTCATGGTGGGATTTGAACTCTCAACCTTCCGATCAGAAGTCCAACGTCTTAACCACTCCAACAGTATGCATGTGACACTGAAGTCAAATTGATTTACGTGAGGCAGTGTGCACTGATACCAAAATTGAAAAGTACACAGTCAGACACTCATTCACACCTTGGGACAATTTAGCATATCCAGTCCACCTACGTGCATGGTTTTGGGATGTTGGAGGAAACCCACATGGGCACAGAGAGAACATGTGAACTTCTCACAGCCAGGAACCCAAGCTCAGGATTGAAACAGTGACGCTTGAGCTGTGAGGCGGCACTGCGTCCCGCTGTGCCACTGGTGTCAGTAACATTTTACTGTATGTAGTTCATGAGCATTATGGATGTCCCTTCACATGGAGAGAGTTTTGAGAGCTACACATTCACAAAAAGTGTGAATTTTAAAGAACTTTGGAGACTCACAAGGACTACAACACACTCAGTTGACACATTAGGTCTACGTACTTTGTAGCTACAATCATTGGCAGTCATTTTATCAGGTAAACTTATTCGGTAGGTATACTGCCTGTAGCCTATTTGTTGCTATGCACGATTTGTCAGCACCACCTACAAAGAACTACTGACCAGATATTATCCTGGTGGGTGGAATGACATTGAAGCTGCATTGCAGTGTGTGTGGTGCTGGTATGAGTGTGTAAGAGTGTGTATTATTCTTACTGGCTGCTTTATTAGACACAGAATAAAACACTTAGGACATGCTGTTATTATAAAATAATCAATGATGAAGTGGGGCAATGCAGCCTGACATCAAGTGGTATTGCTATTACCATCCCGATTTTAATTATTTTTCTATAACAGCACTTCCTGAAGTGTTTTACTCCTCTTATCCCACTGCAATTTGCCACTGATTCCTACAGATCATTTCACATGTGGAAGATAAAATGGCCAATGAATGTAGCTACAAGGTAGGAGCTAGCAATGACATGTGTTAACTCTTAGCTTTTCATGGTAAGGTTGATATTTACATTAAAATGTCCATAAGGTAAATGTAAAACACTTTCGATGTTCGCCTTAACAGCTGTGCACATAAAGAACTGGTCAGTTGTGTGGGCTGGGTCACAGCTGATGAAGTGTACTCCTGTAGTGAAGACCATCAGATTTTAAAATGGAACCTGCTCACGAACGAGACCAGTGTGGTGGTGAAGCTCCAGGAGGACATCTACCCCATCGACCTGCACTGGTTCCCCAAGACTATAGCTGGGAAGAAGCAAGCTTTGGCAGAGATCTTCGCTCTCACCAGTACTGATGGTAATATCAGCAATATAATGATAATATCTTATAATATAAGCAATAATATCTTGCTCATATTTCTTCATGGCAGGGCTCTATGATGTCAGGCTGCTTTCACACTTTTTTTTCCCCCCTCAAACCACATGTAATCCTTTGGGAAGCGACCACAAGGCAAGCAGAATAGGTTGCAAGTTCAGAGGCAAGCGAGTTGAAATTAAAAATGTTTCAGTCCAACTTTAGAATGATTTAGCTCTGCATTTTGTTATTTGAAGCCTACACCAATCACTAGATAATAAATAGAAGTATTTTTCTGCTGTTTAGCTTTCTTATATGAAAGACAAGACAAGAAAAATAAGATAAGTAAATGTAAATATTATTTTGGGTAACATTTGTGTTTCACAAACTATTTAAAAGTACCTATTTTTCATAAGTTATGGATTAGAGACAATTACGCGTTCGTTATCGCCCACATCTGATTACAGTTGTCAGAGTCCTTTTAATAAAGTCCATCCCTTCGGTGGCCATATTGGCAACACTCCTAGGCAGTTATTTTCGGTCATCCTACAACAGGCTTGACTTAAATGAGGAAAGACCTACATATATACCAGAAATATAAATGACAAGATAACATTTCAAACAATGATTTGGAATGGATGTTAGACAAAAATGAGACAAAAATGGCCAAAATAATGTGTGGCCTTTGGCTGCAATAACATGAAGCGTACAATGGATATAAAAAAAGAAAAAGTACACACTCCTGTAAAGATTGCAGGTTTTTGTAATGGAAAGATCAATTGAGATATAGCAACCAACAACTTTCAAGTGAAAAACAATGAGAAATGTTTCGGGCAAAAGAAAAAACGTACAATAACCTGGTGGCACGTGTGTGCACACTCTTTTACAATGGGTCATGTGACCGTGCTCAGAATGAACCAATCACTTTCAAAAGTATTTATCATATACCTGTCATCAACAAAGCGATTCTGATTAACTCCAAATAAAGATCAGCTGTTTCTGTAGGATTTTCTTGAGATCTTCTTGGTTTCATGTGACTGCTGGAGTCATGGTCTGCAAAGAGCTTACAAAGCATGTACGGGATCTCAGTGATGAAAGGTATCGATCAGTAGAGGGGCACAAAAGAATTTCCAAAGCATCAGCTGTACCATTGAACACCATTAAGGCCATCATCAACAAGCTGGGTAAATGGGGCTCAGCAGTGACATTACCAAGAACAGGGCATCCCTCCAAAAGAGACAAAAAGAAAAAAGAAGAAGAAGAAATCTTATCGGGCAGGCTGCCAAGAGACCTACAGCATCATTAAAAGAGCTGCAGGAAGATCTGGCAAGTACTGCTCACTCCCTGCATGTGACAACAGACTCCTGTATTCTTCTAAATCCTGTTGAAAACCTGTGGAATGACTTGAAGAGGGCTGTGCACACTTTACACGTTAATGGTGTTGACAATTAGAAAGTGATTAAACACAATTTTTTAAAGCTTTATTTCATACAATTTGAGCACTGTGAACAGGGGACAAATATCAGCCGTGTGGACATAAAACAACCAGTTTGTAAAAGGATTATATAGAAAATGTACTGTTATTATTTTTTTTTAATTATTATTGTTTACTGTGCGTTACTGCAGAATCACCTAAAAATCCACCATCCATCTGAGTTTTCACAGTTGCCGCTGCCAACAAGCAGTTCCCGACTGCACAGCTGATAATATTATTATTATTATTATGCCCTCGCCTACTGTAGGATGACTTTGCATCCTACAGTCATTTGTAGCATTGCTTGTGCACGTCCTCAGAAATTAACTAGGTGGTGCAATACCAACATAACTAGTGGTGCAGTATAGCACCATGTGACACTGTCTGCAACTGACTAAACAACCTAGCGTTGTGTTTCAAATCACATACTTTGGTATTTATTATTCTAGATTTGCGTACTAACCCTAACTGGTGTTCCTACTACGGCTAGTATTTGAATATTTATTTAAATACGTCTTCTGTAGCCTTCCAACCCACTGAAAGGTCTGTTTTGCATACCAGCCTTCTAGATTTTCTAGATTAGTAAGTATTTTTAAATATAACGTCAGAGATTTCGATTTGAATGCAGCTCATGACAGCAATCACAATGATGGCAGAAAGTGAAACAGAGAAACGGAGCTCGTCGATGTGCATGAAATCGCTAAACATTTGCAGTTTCACTAGGAAACCAGACGAATAGAGATGTTTTGGCTCCGACATGTAATCTAGTGGTAGCCACTTTTAAGGTGGAAATGTGGAAAGGTGGAAATGCTTATTTTCCTATCTTTTTTTTTTTTAGGCTAGCTGTTCTGGATAATTAATTCACTTATTGCCATTTTTTAAAAATGTTAAATCCTGAGCAGTGGAAAATTAATACTGAACAAATCTACTTGCCAGCAAGGTGATCGGCTCCTTTTACTTTGGGGCGGGACTTGCGTAATTTAGCCTCCATGTTTGGTGTTAAGTAATGCCCCAATTGTATTTGAAGCAGTGGGTTCTCTCACTTCAGTTCCAATTTAATAATTGATATTCAATGCATGAATCCAACTTGATAATTAGCTGTCACATTTAACTGTGATTTTTTTTTCTTTCCCCTCTCCCCCTTCTTGTGCTATAACTAGAGGAACTACCTAGCTAGTGGTGGATTTGTAGAATGCTGGAACCGTGCTACTAATCTGATTTGAGGGCTATGCTTTGCACTGTGCACGTTTCCCTGCTTTTGACCTCTGTGTCGTATGCGCTTATCACATAAAGACATGGAGTGGAGACACATGGCCGTGGCAAATGACGTGTGGTCACCACACTAATGGCAGTGTAGAGTTGCATAAACACACCCACAAACTGAAGCGGTAATTTAGTCTGGCAGCTCCCTGTTGCGATGAAAATTCTGTTCAATCTGTGGACTTTCTCTCACCCCTGGACTTCAATATTCGTTTTTTTTTTGTTTTTTTTTTTTAAAACTCTCCAGTTTCCCCCCTCTGTGTGGAACATCTTCATTTTGTCTGAGACAGAGTTAGCCTGAGGAATGAATGATCTGAATGTTTCTTATTTACCACCATGTCTCAGGGGTTATATTGAACTCCGACATCTCTCGATTCTGCTAGTCGTGCATGTGATTTGTGATATTGTGAATTCTGACCCACTCTTTTCTTTGATGCTTTGAGCCACCTATCGTAGCGCGCACGTCTCTCACGGTGGAAACTTGCACACCTACCTCAGTTCTCAAATGTCACATCTTCTTAGCTTCTGCTCTCTGAAATGAATAAAAAGAAACCTCAGATGTATAGCTTTGGTGGGTGGGGGAAAAAGCCATACAGTAAGTTTAGCGGTTGCCTCCAGCCCCAGTCACCGCGTAGGCCTCTGGAGCTGTGTAGATACACATCAAACCTGGGCATGGCGCTCACTGCTGACGGACTGAGCTTTACCACTGAACAAACCGACGCTTTTGGAGGAGAAACTGAAATGCTTTGTATTTTTACTTTTTTTTTTTTCTCTCAAAAACAGAAAGTTTCATAGTCGTTCACTTACTACCTGCTTTTCTGGGTTCGCTTTTGTTTTGTCGAGATCCAAATATAGCATCGGGAGAGAGCAGCAGCATGCTGATTTGCAGTTTTAGGCAACCAGAAATTACATAGAGCATTCTGAATTTTTTAATATGCACCACCACAAAGTATATGGTTGGCTAGTGTCTTTGATAACTGTCTCCATGCCTGATCGCCCTCTGTCTCCAACACAAGGGAGACTGGTCTAATCTAAGCAGC